CCCAGGGGTCATGCAGAAAGTCTGTGGCTGATCAGGGAGCTGAACTTAGGGCTCCTGAGTCCCAGGCTAGTGGCATAACCATCAGGCTAACCTTCCTCACTGCCCAGTGGAAAAAGAAAAGGAGTACTTGTGGCACCTTAGAGACTATCAAATTTATTTGAGCATAAGCTTTCGTGAGCTACAGCTCACTTCATCGGATGTATCTCACGAAAGCTTATGCTCAGATAAATTTGTTAGTCTCCAAGGTGCCACAAGTCCTCCTTTTCTTTTTGTGGATACAGACTAACATGGCTGCTAGTCTGAAATCTGACCAGTGTATTTCTGTTGCCAAGATGCCCTGTTGAACTGCCTCTGTATGATGCCTGCTTTTGTGAGTACCACAGGGGAAGTCACTGCAAACATAATCTATTTGGTTAGTTAGGTTCAGAGAAACCTCAGGGAAAGTACAGTCAGAGTGCTGGACTTAGATTTGTTCAGGACTCAAAGACCCTGATCTTCACCAGAGGATCATTGTGTTACATTATATGTTTACCATAATTACTCAGCTTGTTGTGTTTCTATTTTGTTTGGATTCCTGTGATTGTTTAAAATTGTTTCATTTCATCTGGTGAATCTTCCAGCCACCACCATTGGCCGACACTGGGCCCAAAGGCAAGGAGAGTGCTCAGAACTGTGAGATATGCTTACATGTTCTTTAAGACCACTAGGGTCATATCCTTAGGCTATCAAGACCTTAGGGACTGGCTAGCTGGGGAGTTGGAGGTGTTGATTGGTAAACTGAGGTATTTGCTGTTTGATTTTTTTTACCTTTTCTCTCCGTTATCCCTTCCCACACAAAATATATCACTTTTAATGCCTTTCAACAGACGTTCTCACCGTTTGTATTCTGGCTGGTTCCTTGACTTCTTAGAACACCAAGATTCTATATTGTTTTTATGACATTAAAAGAATATTATTAACATTGCAAAGTCAAACGCTCAAAAGTTAGGAAATGAAAGATTTAAGGTTTTGTGTACAACCTTAATTTGTCCCCTTGTGCATATGTATTATGATACAGTCTTACATGATCACATGCTATTACATGATCACATACTATTTTTTGCAGGACTCCTGCCTGATTCAGTGCACAGGAAGGATGATGGTCACTGAATGAGCTGCTACTCAATATTTCAAGTATTCTTGTTGTAAAATGTGTGGCTCCAGGCCTTATTTACTGTACACTACTCAAACCTTGTTCTGAAGACAGAGTTACTCATTTCTCCATACGTTTTCTATGATGCTGATCACTGTCATATTTGATTAAGTCACAAACATCAATGATTTTATTTTCAGAACACCCTTGTGAGATGAGGAGGTGATATTATTTCCATTTTACAGATGGATAAGCAAGCCACAGAGAGACTGTCAAAAGTTTCCATTTACTTTGGGTGCCCAATTTGAGACACTTAGGACCTGATTTTTCAGAGCAATTCATATCATATAGCAGTTTATATGTTCAGAGCACAGCTCCCAGTGACTTCAGTTGCAGCTGTGAGATCTCAGCAATTATGCAAACAAGTCTTAGGTTGGGTACCCAGAAAATAAGTGACACGCTTAATGACCGCCTGTGGAAAAAAATGGTTTAAGTGACTTGTCTAGCATCATGCAAGAACTCTACAGCAGAGGCAAGGATAGACTCCAGTACACCTGCATGGTTTTCAATTAGTTTAACCATGAGACCCTCAGAGACTCCTTTCTTTTCCTGCAATCTCCAGTCTTATTCACTACAGAGCTTCCAACTTCTGCAACATATGAGATGGGGTCCTGCAAACAACAGCTCATTCACTAGACAACCCTGATTAATTCCTTCAGGACCATCCATCTACTGGCTCCTCATTCCAGTCCCAGTCTCCATCCCCAAGGGCTCTTTGTTCCACTCCCAGTGTCCCTTCACAGTCGGGTGCAGTCTCCCACTTTGAGCTGCCAATCTGAGTCTCAGTCTTCCCTTCGTTGCCCAGCCAATTCCAGTATTTCCTGCCAGACTCTGAGTCTTCCCATGCTGCAGCTCCTTGTCCCAGTCCAGCTATTATCTCCTCTGCATTGGAGTCAGGTGGCTTTCTCCTACACACAGCCTGGGCAGCAGCAGCAGCAGCAGGAAAAGTGAGAACAGAGAAGAAACCATCTCCCTGCCCTCAGTTACTGAGTCTGGCACCAAGTTACTCGTAACAACCAGGAGCAACATCATAGAATATCAGGGTTGGAAGGGACCTCAGGAGGTCATCTAGTCCAACCCCCTGCTCAAAGCAGGACCAATCCCCAACTATATCATCCCAGCCAGGACTTTGTCAAGCCTGATCTTGAAAACCTCTAAGGAAGGAGATTCCACCACCATCAAATCAAATCCCCCCTCATTCTTCTCTTCTGCAGATTAAACAATCCCAGTTCCCTCAGCCTCTCCTCATAAGTCATAAACTCCAGCACTCTAACCATTTTTGTTGCCCTCCGCTGGACGTTTTCCAATTTTTCCACATCCCTCTTGTACTGTGGGGCCCAAAACTGGACACAGTACTCCAGATGAGGCCTCACCAATGTTGAATAGAGGGGAATGATCACGCCCTTCAATCTGCTGGCAATGCCCCTACTTAAACAGCCCAAAATGCCATTAGCCTTCTTGGCAACAAGGGCACACTGTTGACTCATATCCAGCTTCTCATACACAGTAATCCCTAGGTTCTTTTCTGCAGAACTGCTGCCAAGCCATTCGGTCCCTAGTCTGGAGCGGTGCATGGGATTCTTCCATCCTAAGTGCAGGACTCTGCACTTGTCCTTGTTGAACCTCATTAGATTTCTTTTAGCCCAATCCTCTAATATGTCTAGGTCCCTCCATATCCTATCTCTACCCTCCAGCGTATCTGCCACTCCTCCCAGTTTAGTATCATCTGCAAACTTGCTGAGGGTGCAATCCACATCATCCTCCAGATCATTAATAAAGATATTGAACAAAACCAGCCCCAGGACCAACCCTTGGGGCACTCCACTTGATACCGGCTGCCAACTAGACAAGGAGCCATTGATCACTACCCGTGGAGCCCGACGATCTAGCCAGCTTTCTATCCACCTTATAGTCCATTCATCCAGACCATACTTCTTTAACTTGCTGGCAAGAATACAGTGGGAGACAGTATCAAAAGCTTTGCTAAAGTCAAGGAATAACACAGCCACTTCAACATTGGAGGGACAGTCCTGCTCAGCCCCTGGAGCCTTAGGCTGGAGCATGCTCAGTTCAGATGGATTTTATGGTGAAATTAGCTGCCAAAATCTTACAAGTCTCTGCTGATCATGTGCAACTTGTCATTTTTTTCAGAGGCTTATAAATGGCCAGATTTTCATGGGGACACCCTGATACTAGGGTCCCCCCTTCTAGCCAAATATCAAGCTGTTGCTCCAAGCATGGGGATGCTAGAACTTCTCAAACAAAAGGTTGTATGATGGCTTTAACAACATTTTTTCCCTAATCTCATTTGCAGAAATGGCTGGACTATTTTTGATGAAATTTTCCAAAACATACTCAGCCTGAGGCAGAAACCCGACATGGATAATGTCAACCCAAATAGTTAAAGTTGGACAATGTTATCAGCAAGTGAAAACAGAGGCTTATAATGGGAAGTGTTGGGAGCTTTAACAATAGGCTGGGCCATAATATAGTAACTACCAGTTCCACCTACAACACTATAACTGTTCCCATTGTGTACATATTCTCACAGCACCTGGAGGCACCACTTTGACACCAGTGATTGATTACCCCAGATCCACCTGCCTTTAAACAGACAGCGGCACAGACCATGCAAACCTACAAACCAAGGTCCTTCATGTATATTCAGCTAGCAGTGCCTGGTGGCTACATACAAAGTATTTTTTTTTAAATGCTTCACGGAGCTCTAGATTGGAGGAAATCAGGAATTTTGTGCTGTTGCTATTTTTAAAAAAGGGTCAGTTTTACAACATTAAATGTTTATAAATAACAATTGTGTGTGCCTAATGTATGTGAATACTCACGCTGTGTGCTCAAATCATCCATGTCCACATGCATATATTTAATGTGGCACCCAACTAGTCATATATGTGCAGAAATAGTTGATTTGCACCTGTACATCAACCACTAGTTAGGCATGCACAATTGCTTATCTGCGCTTCATTTCAAAAATCGGGATCTATATGTGTACAGGTAATCCTTGACTTTATGATGTTCGACTTACGACAATTGGTTTTGACTCTACAATGCTCGGTCCCGCAACGGAGTGGATTGTGGTTCTGTGTTACGAAGTTTCGACTTACGACACAATTTTCAGGAACCACTTGTGTCGCTAAGTCCGAGGACTGCCTGTAATTTGAGTGTGAATGGTGTGTTGATGTTTCTCAAATTGTGAAGTTTGCCCTTTGGTCTTCTGCCTCTGTATTTCACAGTGCTACATCATTTTTTTCTCGAAGAAAAGTTTATGTTAAAAATGACAAAAATGCAGCAGATGAATGGATGTTTCTCTCCCCCCCTCCTTTTTTTTTTTTTTTTGGTGGAAACGGTAAAAAATAAAGTTCTTTTTACTTAATATGCTTAGCTCAACAGGACTTTATTGTGGTTTTTAAAGTCTTCAGCTATTTGTGGTTTACTTGTACAGGAAATAATTTTGTTCGCATTTGGTTATCCTCTAATGAATCATGGTAACTGCACTGTGTTGTTGTCTGCCTTGTTCTGTGCTTGGGGAAGAAAAGCACATCTGGCCTGTAAATCAGAACTAAACATCGATACCTCATTCAGCTGTTTATTTAGTGACTGCTCTCTATGTTATATAGGTCTATAGTGCAGATTATCTACACAGTGGTGAAAATCTCATATGGCCCCTTAAAGAATCACACTGGGAAGCCTCCACGCCCCCACAGTATCTCTGATATGTAATATTTTCTACCTGATACAATGTAACTATGCTTCTTGCAGTAACAAGTATATTCTCTTTTTATTCTTTTAGAAATTGTCCCCTGGTTATGTGTGTTCAGAGCAGAGAATGCTGTGGACTTCTCACAATTAACATTTGACCCAGGACAAAAAGAACTTATTGCTGGAGCAAGGTGAGAAATTTATGAGCTTTTGTTGATTATTCTTGTGTGAAGTTAAGTGCTAGTGAGCCAAATTCTGCCTTCAGTTGTATCTATGCAACTCCATTTACATCAAGTCATGAAGACATACTGAACTGGATGTAACTAGAGTTTCATCTGTTATAACTGACAGAAGATTTAAAGTGCTAGGTTGGTTCAGGGTGCATAAGAAGTTGCTCTGTATTCTCACTTTTAGGAGCCTTGTCCTGTAGTCATTGCAAACTCAGAACTCTTATTAATGTCAGTGAGAGATCAACACAGAACATGACCCTACAGTAGTAAGAGGTAAAGTTGCTTTAAGCCCATGTGGGAAGAGTTTAGTTCAGGATACATTTTATAGCAACTCCAAATATGGTTTTACAGCACTTTTTTTTCCCCTTCTATGATCCTATTCATGGTCCAGTCTTGCTGCCTTTTTCTTGAATGGGATATATATTAAGGCAGTAGTTTTCAAACTGTGGTCCATAGTGAAGTACTCTTGCATGCTCTGTAGAGCTTCTTCTGTTGTAGTGGTGAAACATTTGTCGGTCCGCAGACACTGATTTGTCCTAGTAGCTGTAGCGCAGTAGAATTCTTTGGTTTCCCAAGACTTTAACCAACTAAACTTAACTTTTAGCAAAATATTTTTGACTATATCTATTTTTTTCATTTACAAAGCACCAATCAACATAATATCTAGGTTCCCTCTAACACCAGCAGCGTGTTGCTGCTTCACATTTTTCTTTGGAAGCTCAAGAAGTAGTCCACAAAATAAAGAAGCTTGAGAACTGCATTAGGGCTCAAATTCTGCCATCATACCTGAACAATTTCCATTGGTGTCAATGGAATGGTGTGTGTGGTTTGTTTCCGGCAAAATTTGGCCCTGGAGCTCAAACTGATTGTAAAATAGTTTTAATGGCAGCTTTCAAAATCAGGAAAAGCCTGATGAAAAAAAGTTTTTTCAAGAGAAAAGTTTTAGCATGGTCATTTTTAAAAATCTTATTTTAAAACTGCGGAGATTTGTGTTTAAAAACAAACAAAATAAAATTTGAAGACTTTTTATTTTCTGCTTGGCAACTTTAAAATCAAGCTTCAGAATCCCTCCTTAAAATCGCCTTTGCCATGATGTCTACAAGAGTTCACAATGGTTAGGCTGCTGATGTGCTGAGATCACTGCTGGTGATGCAAACTGATATTGTTTCATTTATTTCTTGTTCTCCCTCATCGACCTGTCTGTCTCTCAACCTGTTGTTTCTTGTGTTAGATTGTAAGGTCTTTGGAGCAGGGACTGCCTTTTTGTTCTGTGTTTGTACCGAGCCTAATACTGTTGGGTCCTGGCCCATGACTGGGGCTCCTAGGTGCTTCTGCAATACAAATAAATAAATAATAATACAATAATAAGAAGTTGTATTATGTATCTGAGGGTAGAATGAAGACTGTTGTTAAACTAAATCAAGTTCTTAGTAGTTTGAACAGTTTCCAATTTTTTAAATTTTTTTTTCAAATAATGATCACTTTTATTTCTAGAAAGACAAGGCAGGTGAGGTAATATGTTTTATTTTGCCAACTACTGTTGGTGGGAGGGACTTGCTTTCAAACTACACTGAGCTCTTCTTCAAGTCTGGGGAAGGTAACCAGGATGTCTAAGCTAAATACAAGTTGGGATAGATTGTTAATCATAAAGGGTTCACATTTGCTGTAGGAGACCACTTAAAATAAAGTGGACAAATAAGGGTTATCAGGCAGTGGAGTGTGTTACAAATTTGTAATGACCCATACAACCAGTCTCTCTCTTAAGTCCATGGTTTTTAGTGTCTAGCAGAATTATGAATTTAAGTTCCCATGCTTGTCTTTGAAGGTATTGTTCAGGCTTCCTTTGAGGATGAGGACTGAGAGGTCAGCCTTCAAAACAAACAGGCACACACAGCTGCAGCCAATCAACCGCCTTGCCCCTGTGTTTGCAACTAGTCACAGGGAAACCCCTCTGTCCACACACCTTACCGTCTGATTACGGACCCTGTCATAGAGTCCAAGGGTTTCCTTGACTTTCCAGGACCTCCGTGACTTCTTCTGGGGCGGGGTTGGAGCAGCAGCTGGGATTGGGTCAGCCTCCCTGGGGCTGAAGCAGTGGCAGTCCGCTTCTGTCACAGGAGCAGTGGTGCGGTTGGAGCAGCTGCAAGCCCCCAGCAGCAGTCTAAATATTGCCCCCCTCCCCGAAGGTATTTTAAGTTAAAAGTCAGGGACACGTCATAGGCTTCCAGGAATTTTTGTTTATTGCCCAAAACTGACTTTTACTAACAATACCTGTGACAGAATCTTAACTTTATTTCTGATCAGTCTGGCGAATTGCCTTGGGTGGCAGCTTCCTATTGTTTCAGCTATTACTGCACAAAGGGACATTTAATTGTTACTTCCATTCAGCCTGAAAGAAAGATGCTTAGCACACCTATCAGCTTCAATGAGCTGTACAATATCTGTAGATCAAAGGCTGACTTAATGGCAGCCATTAACACTTTCCAGCAGACCAGCACCCCCACACTCTGATCTGCCCATCATCCTGATGGAGTTTAAAATGTTGGCACCTTGAATGAAATATCCCAGACAGAAAGAAAATAAATTAACTTTTTAAAAAAATACAAGCTTAACAATTTACGTATTTACTTAGTGTTTTGCTGTGAGGGCATTTTTACATCAACCCAAATCAATTTGGCTCTGACCTAATCCTCCTTGGAGTTTTCCTTTCTCTCCTTTATCTCTTTTCAGCCAAATCAGGAGGGACTACCTCCAACAGCAGTGGTTCTCAAACTTTTGTACTGGTGACCCCTTTCGCACACAGTGAGCCTCTGAGTGTGACCGCCTCTTATAAATTAAAAACACTTTTTTATATTTAATACTATTATAAATGCTGGAGATGAAGCAGGGTTTGGGTTGGAGGCTGACAGCTCATGACGCCCCATGTAATAACCTCACGACCCTCTGAAGGGTCACGACCCTCAGTTTGAGAACCCGTGTACAACAGGCTCCTGATGAGTGTCTGTTGTTTCTACGGAGGTGTTAGCTGAGACAGAATTCTAAATGGGAATTTATGATTGTCTCAACTCTTTTAAGTGACATATCTGAGGAACTGTCCCAGATTGAGGTATCAATAGAGAAGGTTTTGGACAAATTGATGAATTAAAGAGCAATACGTCACTCGGAGCGGATAGTATTCACCCAAGAGTTCTGAAGGAACTCAGATATAAAATTGCAGCTGTACTTCCTGTGGTATGTAACCTATTTTTTCAAATCAGTCTCTGTACCAGATGACGGGAGGGTAGCTACTGTAACACTGATTTTTAAAAAAAGGCTCCAGAGGTGATCCTAGCAGTTACAGGTTGGTAAGCCTAATGTCAGTGACAGGCAAATTGGTTGAAATTATAGTAAAAAACAGAATGATCAGACACAAGAATAAACACGATTTGTTGGGAAAGAGTTTTTGTAAAGGCTTTTGTAAAGAGAAATCATGCCTCAACAATCTATTAGAATTCTTTAAGTGTGTCAACAAGCATGAGGACATGGGGGGATCCAGCTTGAGGTAGTGTACTTGGACTTTCAGAAAGCCTTTGACAAGGTCTCACACCAAAAGCTCACAAGAAGTCATGGGATAAGAGGGAAGGTCCTCTCATGGAACAGTAATTGATTAAAAGATAGGAAACAAAGGGTAGGAATAAATGGTCGGTTTTCACAATGGAGAGAGGTAAATACTGGCCACCTCATCCTCCCTAGCCAGGATATGTACTGGGATCTGTTCATGTGCATAAATGATCTGGAAAAGGGAGTGAGGAGGCAAAATTTACAGATGGTACAAAATTACTCAACATAGTTAAGTCCAAAACTGACTGTGAAGTTACAAAGGTCTCTCACAAAACTAGGTGACTGGGCAGCAAAATGGCAGATGAATTTCAATATTGGTAAATACAAAGTAAGGACATTGGAAAACATAATCCTAACTATATATACAAAATGATGAGGTCTAAATTAGCTGTTACCACTCAGGAAAGACATCTTGGAGTCATCATGGACACCTCTCAGAAAACATCCCCGTAACGTGTACCAGCAGTCAAAAGAGCTAACAGAATATTAGGAACCATTAGGAAAGGGATATAATAAAACAGAAAATACTGTAATGCCAATATATAAATCCATAGTACACCCACACCTTGAATACTACGTACAGTTCTGGTTGCCCCATCTCCAAAAAGATATATTAGGATTGGAAAAGGTACAGAGAAGGGCAACAAAAATGATTAGGGGCATGGAACAGCTTCCGTATTAAGAGAGATTAAGAAGAGTTGGACTGTTCCATTTAGAAAAGAGATGACTAAGGGGGGGATATGTTAGAGGACTACACAATCACAAATGGTGTTGAGAATGTGAATAGGGAAGTTTTATTGACCCCTTCACATAACAAAAAAACTAGGGGGTCACCCAAATAAATTAATAGATAGGTTTAAAACAAACAAAAAGAAATACTTCTTCACACAATGCATAGTTGTCATGGGATGTTGTGAATGCCAAAAATATAACAGGGTTCAACAAAAAATTAGATAAGTTTATGGAAGCCAGGTCCATGGCTATTAACCAAGATGGTCAGGGACTCAACCCCATGCTCTGGGTGTCCCTAAATGTCCAACTGTTAGTAGCTGAGACTGGACAATAGGGAATGGATCACTCAATAATTGCCCTGTTCTGCTCATTCCCTCTGAATCAGCTGACCCTGGCCACTATTAGAAGACAGGATACTGGGCTGGATAGACCATTGGTCTGTCCCAGTATGGCAATTCTTATGTTCTTACAGCCTCAGTTTCAGGGGCATCATTTCAGAAAAATTCAGTGGTGGGGGAGGAGGACAAAGAAGTATCAACATGTAGAACATAATATGTAATTATATAATGACTTGCAAAGTCTTAGGGGCAGCAGGGAGTGAAAGATGTAATGGTGCATACAGAAAAGTC